TGCATCTGTTTGAGGATAAATAAATGCACGCTATCGGTTTCAACCAATGGGGATTCTTGATACATGAGTGCAATTAATTTCTTGCGTGTGTTCTTCCACAAGAAAAGCCTAAATGAGATTAGCTGTCTTTAACTCGGTAGCCATAATCCTTAGCATTTCATATAAATGAGTCTAAATACTGTTTTAGTAGGAGAGTCACATGAACACACAAGCATTTATGTGTTTATATATGCACACATATATGCATACTTTACTACATATGTGCTTATTTAAAACATACTGGATTTCATTTGATTTTTGGTAGGATTACATTCCTCCTGTTTCCATATATAAAAGGATGCTTTGACCATAGAAAGTCTTAATTGAAACTCAAAGAGGGTATGTGCTACCAATAGTTTTCAACCCAAATCTAAGACAAGGAACCGATGATGGGAGCGGAGGAACAGTACCACCTGGTGATGAATGGGTGCGACTGGGGAGAATCTCAGCAAATGGGTCGGTCAGCTGCTGCCATTTGATTTTTTGCAAAGGAGAGTTCTAAGAGGAAGCGAGAAGTTAGCTGGGCTCACGTGTGTTTCAAGGTGACTGCAAACCTGAATCATAGAATCACAGCATGGTTTAGATTGGAAAGGACCTTGAAGATCATCGAGTTCCAACCCCCCTGCCATGGGCAGGGACACCTCCCACTAGACCAGGTTGCCCAAGGCCACGTCCAGCCTGGCCTTGAACACCTCCAGGGATGGGGCCTCAACAACCTCTCTGGGCAACCTGTTCCAGTGCCTTACCACCCTGGGAGTGAAAAACTTCTTCCCAATGTTTAATCTAAACCTGCCCTCTTCCAGTTTATATCCATTCCCCCTCGTCCTGTCACTACCTGCCCTAGTAAAAAGTCCTTCCCCAGCTCTCCTGGAGGCCCCCTTCAGCCCTAGTATCATCCTCGTGGCTCTCCTCTGGACACTCTCCAACAGGTCCATGCCCTTCTTATGTTGGGGACTCCAGACCTGGACGCAGTACTCCAGGTAGGGTCTCACAAGAGTGGAGTAGAGGGGCAGGATCACCTCCCTTGACCTGCTGGCCACACTTTTGATGCAGCCCAGGATACAGTTGGCCTTCTGGGCTGCGATCGCACATTGCTGACTCATGTTGAGCTTCTGGTCAATCAGCACACCCAGGTTCTTCTCAGGGCCACTCTCCAGCCATTACCCGCTGAGCCTGTATTTGTGCTTGGGATTGCCCCGACCCAGATGTAGGACCTTGCACTTGGCCTTGTTGAACTGCATGAGGTTGGCTTGGGCCCACCTCTCCAGCCTGTCCAGGTCCCTCTGGATGGCATCCCTCCCCTCCAGCGTGTCTACCTCACCAAACAGCTTGGTATCATCGGCAAACTTGCTGAGGGTGCACTCAACCCCACTGTCCATGTCCGTGACAAAGATGTTGAACAGCTGAATGGTAGTGTTGGAGAAAGCAGGAACATACATACTTTAAAAGCGGCTAAAAAATTCCAGGATTGTGGCTGAACCAAAAGCAGGATTTGGCCTGCAGATAAGTCGGGAACATAAATGTGAGATTAGCAAAGGAGAGGACTTGAGGGAGATTGGGGAGGTGGAACCAAGTGGAACAAAGGGTTTATAGAAAAGGAGCAAAGTAGAAGATAGACTGCAGAGGGCAGAAAGAAAAGACCAGATGAGAGGAGGGGGACGGGACGTTACGTTGTGCTTCGTTCAGTTTTGAAAGAATTCAGAGAGGTTCTGTGCAGGAAATGCAAACAGGCAACATTGTGGCTAATCTTGTACTGAAACGCCACTCTTTTTCCAGGGGCGTCTGATAGGGGAATCCTGCCATTTGATTTGGTCAGTTTTGCATGAGATGGTACATGTAAGCGAGAAAGAAAACAGTGTAATCCCAAGTGACTCGGCAGTGCAGCAAATCCTGGAGTCACCAGAGTATGCGAGAAAGCGTATGTTTCTGGTTTTCAAAGCACAGTTAGTCCTACCAACCTGACTCTTCTCCTGGCACCCCATCCCAACAGCAGAGACCCGCTCCAGAAAGGATGCAGCTC